AAAATAGCTAAATCAATGTCCATTAACATGGATCAATCAAAGCAGGACTTCTACAGTGTGTATTTAGTACTCTCTACTTTTTCAATTGGATGACTGGCCTCTGGTCCCAATCACACTGACTAGAAGGCTATCTTTAACTAGCTCTGTATATAATAACTAGGAGGTTCTCTGGGGACTAGCTATCAGCAGGGAGGTACTCAAAGGCAGAAGGGCAAGGAGGTAGCAATGCACCATGGTGTCTCAGGGAGGCTGAGAAGTGTACCCATCTGGCTGCCAGCACAGTGCTGCTGTGGGATCTACTTGGTCCTTCTACATAAGCAGGTCTGCTGGCAGGCAGATTACCACACTGAGGCTGGACAGTCACCGTCTTCGTCCTTCCACATTCAAGTATCTAATGATTGAATGGTCACAATCCCCCTGTGTGGCAAGTATGCCAACGTGCTACTTATGAGGGTGCTGTCTCTTCTTATTAGGCAAAGTTTAAAGTAAAGGTGGAATGTGACTTCCAAAAATTCACTTTACAACTTTTTTTGCTTCTCCAAGTCTTTTGCTCTTCTACATAGGAAGAAAACATCTGCGATCATCCTATTCTGTGAACTGGGGACTGAATAAGAGTCAATTTTTCTACAGTAAAAATACTAAAAACATACCACCATCACCAAGATACTGAATGATCAACAGAGAACAGAAAATAATTCATAAAAGGGGAAAATAACTAGTTAACAATTATAAAGACAATGTTCGTATTTGTCAGTCATCCTAAAATGTAATTAAAGCAACTCTATGGTTCCAGTTTAGATCTACTCAAGTTATTACAACTTTCAGAATCTAACAATTTTCAATCTCTAGCTTTATAAATTGGTAAACTATTCTGAGAATCAATTTGGGAGCGCCAGCCTTCTGGCTGGCTAGCTTCCTGCCTGCTGGCTCCCGGAGGGTGGGCGCCCAGCGCACGGGGAGCCTCCGGCAGGGAGTGCCGGTCTTCGGACCGGCGACTCACTCCCGGCCTTGTGGTTCCCCGGAAAGAGGGCTTCTGGCGCACAGGGAGCTGCAGGTGGGGAGCTCCAGCCTTCTGGCTGGCTAGCTTCCTGACTGCTGGCTCCCGGAGGGTGGGCCCCAGCACATGGGGAGCCTCGGGCGGGGAGCCCCGGTTTTTTCGGTCTTTGGACCGGCGACTCACTCCCGGCCTCCTGGTTCCCTGGAAGGAGGGCTTCCGGCGCACAGGGAGCTGC